GCCACTGTCAACTGCTGGCTGCAAACCTGCTCTGCTCTGCACAACCAGACTGCTTCCATTACAACTGCACCTCGCTTCCCTTCTACCTTGCCAAGATTTCAATGATGAGTAAAGAAAACATTTTAATAATAGTCGGAACATTGTAAACTCTGAAAAGCTCTAACCATTGCGGAGACAACTTTGAAGATGTCTTTTAAAACGACCTAAAAATACTTGTAGCTGTTTTTAAAATCAAAGTATGATTCTGACCAACGAAGTCAACATTTTTCTTTTCATTAGCAACTAACAGTCTAAAAGCTGAAAGTCGTCATTCTTAAATGGAGTAAGCCAGTTTATGAGACAAAAATCACTTTTCAGGACAACTGTCAACAACGTGAAAGTTTTCAAAACCAGTAACCCCAAATGGATTTTATTTATTGACTGAAATACTCCTTTTAGCCTAACAACTTGCTTAAAAAGTCTGTTGTTGTTGGGTTTCTAGTGAATTCTTTTCAAAAGCCTACCCATTAAATTTGGAAGCAGTGGTAACAAATCCCTGGCCAAACAACTGCTGAGCCAGTAGACCCTTCCTTTAGAATCAGCAAAGACAGTGGACAAAAAGGTCATGCCAGACACACCCTGCCAAAGTCCATCACAAAGCTGGACGGAAAGGAAATAAGTGTGTCTTAATTACGTGTTAGGTTCTACTCTCTGCAGTCTGCTTTGTTAAAAATAATAGAAATTTAAGAACTTTGAAAAAGAGTGAGATAGTGTTACACGTTTCTGGAAATGAGGGGTGATCCTCATTAATCAACTGCAAAGTGGGAAAAACTGGTTCCATTACCCGGAGATTATCAGGCACCTGATAAACGGACTTTAAGTAGACAGACTGAGAACCAAGTGTCATTGTAAACACGGCTGTAGAACCATGTGTGAAACTTCTACTTCCTCGACTTCACTCACAGACCATTTTTTAGTTGAATATACACTTCTGAACCGTACCCTCTCTTTTTTAACGGCGATTTTCCTTGGCTTACTGAAAAGCCTGATTGCACCCTATCTAGAATTTTGGCAGAAAGGTCTCAACATCCAAGCTGTTTGACTTTCCCAAAGTCAATCTATTTTTACTGATGAGTTGGCACCTTTAATTTCGGGCAGCTGACTGCTACCTGCCTGACTTGAAATGAGCACCCACATAGCTCAGAGATGCTACCCGTGAGAACATCTACCAAGCTCAGTGCAGCAGAGTCAGTACAGCAATTCTGGCTTCTTTCGACCAAGCATCAGTATACGATCCAGCACCAGAAATCAATCAGTACCAGTAATCAAATCCAAAACTAGGTTGTAGTCTCATGGGTCTTACTGGTCTCTGTTTTCAATATGCCATTTGCCGCTTTTTAAAATTTGACTCAAATAGTTTAACTTCTAGTTCTCAAAACTAACTTTGGACCACTGTTTATGCATTACTCTTTAGAAATCACATCCACAGCTTACCAATCCCAAAGAAACTCTCTAACATCATTTTCAACTGGAGGGATAAACATTTTATTCATGAAAAACAATATACACTTTTTTCAACAGCAATGACGATCACATCAAGTAGCAGAAACGCACCATTAAACTTTACTGATATTCAAATCAACCTCAAAATTCTGAACAGAATCATGAAGTTTTCAATAATTCTACCATGCTCATCCAGCTATAAATGGTCACACACAAAAAAATTGTTTGACCAAGTAAGCACCCCAAAAATCTAAGAAATGTAAAGCCAGCTTCCTGTTTTTTCCCTCTGTCATAAGATTTCAATTTTCATCTTTTATGGAAAGGAAATAAACAACAAGCTTCCAGTTCAATCAGTACCTAAAAGCCCGTGTTTTACACATCACAGAACACAACCCACCTCCTCCTTCACTTCTCTCCAATGTCTCTTATCTTGACTTGTTGAAATATGAGACCGTTTTACCACACTAATGCTTTCCTATGAAATTTACTTCTCTTAGCATGAAGAATGCAAAAGCCTCAAGATGTAAACACATTATTTTATTCCCAGATGTTTAAATCATTTCTTACAACAAAGAATTAGTACCCAAGAACGTGAAAATTGATTTGCCAAACTTTTACAACACTTAAATTTTAGAAACAAAGTTAAATTTCTTAGGACTGTCTACAACCACAGAGAAGGCTTCCCACTCGCATCCCTCCTTTCTATTCTAATTGCATGAAAATGTAAAACACCTAACCTAGCCATCGGTAAAAATAATTACCTGTTTAAAATAGCTAAATATTACTTTAACCCTATACTTTCTTTTAAAGTGGGATGCCTCCGCAAAACTAAGAGGAATTCTTTTGTGCTTGGATGAACAACAGGAAAGCAAAGCCTCCAGGCCCTTGGGGAGGCACCTCGTCCCTGCAGCCCAGCTCTGATGTGCTGGGGAGATAAGGCTCTATAGTGACACTTAAGGAAAGGCCTGTTCACATTTGAATTTCTGCATTCCTCAAGAACAATTCATGGCAATAACTAACTTTGCAGAAGAGCTACATGAAAGCTTCGGCCAATGAATGAGGGTCATCTGCTCTTTATCACAAGGGTAAACCTCATCCCGGCCAGTTTCTAACCTTTTAACCCTGTGAATTCCTCATTTACACATGAATAATGGAATTCTTGCCTAGAGTGCAACTTTCAGCTTCTCGTTCCTAAGTTTAGAAACCAACTCTTGACTGCCCAGCGTGTTAAAAAATCTAAAACTTCCACAGATTAAAGTTGCATATTTCAGGTGCTGTACTATTACCTTTGGAGCTAAAATACAGATGTGCTGACAAAACCTCCAACAAAATTAAAAGAATGCTATGTACACCCTGCTGTTATCAATAACTAGAAAAGAACTAACTTTAAAAAAGAATAACAACAAAACCCCAGAGTGTCTACTTAATGTCTGGTCTCTTCCTATTTAACACAAATAAAAGTATAACATCTGAATACAAGAAAAAGCAGTCTGCACCCCTTTCATTGGACACTGCTTTGGAGATGTCTCAACTTGTTAACTTAGGAGCTCTAAGAAATTTTGCATTTCTAAAGAAAAATGTAAATCCACCATACATGTATTTTAATTCCATAATACTAAATAGATAATCCTAACAAAATACCTTGTCCAGGTTAAGTAATGTGCACCTAAGAACATTGTCACCCAGCTGATGACAGCAACATTCGACATAGTTTTCAGTTTTCGATACTTGTAATTACTTCACCATATTACCTTCAAAATTACTTATATTTCATAGATTTATTGACAAGTTTATAAAGATACAAAAAAGTAAGATTTTCAAAATGCCAGCACTAGTATTTGTTTATAACATGGATTTACACACCTTTCACACTTATCAAGTTAGAAAGTTTGTGCTTTCAAAAAGTGTTTCTGGGAGACCCTGAATTCTGTCAGATTTTTCAGAGGGTTCTACAAACAAGGGACAGTCATACCCAATGCTTCAGCCTTTTCAAGGCCTACCTCCTACTTATGAAGGTTACCATACCACAAGTTACCATTCCTTAGCTATGAAAACACCCAGTCCACAAACCTAAAATGCTGGGTCAATTCCAACTGCAAAGAACAAATTTACATTAAACAAAAATTAACTGAACAGAACATAGGCATAAAAAGCACACTATCATGAAAAAAATTATTGTGTAGAAAAACGATTATCAATTAAAAAAATGACTACTAACCAATGATTAAACAAGACAGCTGATTAGAAATCCTCTCAGGTCTAAACCATTCTCTGGCAAGAGTGGGGCTTGAACAGAAAATGGCTCTAATTTTTCAGGCCCATTTCAATATAAAAACGTCTTTGCAATTTATTTCCTATAATTAATCATTATTGCACAAATGAGCAACTAATTTGAGGGTGGCTTATACAGAACCATGAAAGGGTCCAATGAAGTCACCCAGGACATCTCGACCACTAGACTGCTAAATTTCAATTATGTAGACATTAAAGAAGTCGCTTTTTAAAGATGATGCACTTATCCCAAGAAATCCCTCTCACTGGTGTTTAGCTCATAAATAATATGCAGGCAGAGCATCAAATCTGCGTTTTGCAGTGTAAAGGACAGGGAGGTAGGATACTTGTAAGACTATTTTTAAGATATAATTTTGTTTTTCAAGATTTAAATATCCCACTGTAACCTTGAGTGCTGTGAAGAGATGGGAGGCCTGGGGGGGCCAGTGTGGGGGGCCAGTCAGGAGTTCTCCACCATTTCAGGCCTGCCTTCACACTCAACAGGTCAAATCCTGGGAGTGGATCATTGGACAAATGGTTGATCCGACAGAATTGTTCATATAAAGGAAACCGTTAGACAGCGACCTTTATGACAACTGGAAACAAATGAGTAGATCCGGTTTAAATCCATTAGGTGTCATATGCAAATAGCCTTAATCTCTTTCCCTCCCAGCAGGAAAAGACTAGGACTACTTCAAAGGCTTGAGAGTCCCTGACCAATGCCCTCTTAACAATCACAACCCAACCCAGGGATCTAAAAGCAGTGGGAGAAAGGGAGGGGTGGGAGGAATCTACAAAACTGTATCATGGAAGACAATAACAACAACAACAACAAAAGATAAAAACACAGAGAAAGATCTAGTACTCAAGGATCATCTACAAACCAAAAGAGTTGCTGGTGATTGTTCTGATGCAACCACTAATTTCCCAAAGACATAAGAACAACTGCTGCTGTGCTGGACAAACTTCTACAGCCTTCTAATAGTGTGAAAGCGCCCATAGTTTTGCAAAGCCACTTCTACGGTTTTACGTTATGGGGCCTTCTGAAACTATTTTGACTTTTATTCTCCATGATGCATGTGAATTTATACATATTCCCAAATTTCCCTCTATGATTTGATGGGCATCAACTATCATCTACAGAACAATTCTTCATACACATATGACTTCAGGGTATTGTACTATTCAATCCAGAAACCACCAACATGTAGTAATGAAGATCATCACCCAAGGACTCGCACACTTACTTGATAAGGTGAGGTGAGCTTTCTGACTAAGAATGGCTCCGTATTTGTTCACCGCCAAGCACTGATAAAATCCTTCGTGGGACTGCTCTCCGCGCCTGCCTTCCACCTCACTGATGTATAAAGAGCCGTTAGAAAGAACTTGGATCCGTTTATTTTCAGACAGTTTCACTCCATTTTTCAACCACGTGACCTTGATGGGAACTTCTCCGTGAGCCTGGCAATCTAATATGACTGGGTCCTTTCTCGTGACAGTTACATCCTGTGGTTCTTTCATAAAAAACAGTTCGCTAAAGCACCACACTCCTGCAAAGAAAAGGGAAGAAAGGCAGACGCAGAATTACTGGCAAAACATCCTTTAACACACAATTGTAAAACACACACTCAAGTTTTACACACCCTATTAGCTAACTCAGAACACCTCGATACGCCCACGCAGCCTCAGCAAACCTTCCTCACACAAGTCGGAGAACTCACATTTTACAACATTTACACTAAAAGCACTGGGAAGAGGTTCAATAACCTCCACACCTTGTAAGAATTCTGTCCTTGCCGGCATTTTCAAAATCATCAGGAATATGCTCGCGCACATACTGTTCCCTGCTTTTACAAGCTTGTCAAAAGAGATCTTGAACAGAGTTAAGTCGTAAACGTCTAATTTTACAAGAAATCATTAGCAAAACTCCAACTCTGTGAACAAGCAAGTTTATTTCCTGCTCCCTTAAAGTGTCCCTAAAACCCTGGACAACCCCTCCTTTGGGAAGTGCGTTTATCTTTTGGGACAAATCACAAGTCTGCATTTTTCTATCTGCCCCTTTACAGCAGGGACTCTGTCTCCTCTCCTTGAAAGAAATCCATTTACTTGATTTCGGCAGAGCAAACTAGGTATTTAAAGGACAAACAATAGACTTTGAAAAGTTGGTAACTCTCACTGCTTGTACTCAGTGGGTGATCGGATTAGAATCAAAGTTCTCTAACTTTGATTTCACTTTTTTTAGAACTACCAACTGTTGGAAAAATGCGTGACTAATTGGTCCTTACTGTCTAATAGGGATGGGAGATTGCTTAATCAGCCAATACACATTTTTTATCAGAGCAGGGCTAGAGTTTTCTCCTGAGCATATACATCGCCCCTGACCCCCACCGGATCATGAGGCCAGTTTCCTTCAGGGAGCTCTAAGGCCGCTCACACTCCTGCTCCTGGACTAGGCGAGGGGAGGCTTTTGGGTTGGTTGTGCACCCCTCCGGAGCACAGGGCTGCAAGCCCAGGGGGAGGATTCCTCCAGTTTCTCCTCCAGGCAGATCTTGGGAAAGCTCAGGTTCCCCAGTGCTTCACTGGCCTCGGCAAGCCCAGGGCGAAGCGAGCCACCCTAACAGCCCAGCTCCGCGCCGACCACTCCGGAAGGCGCCCATTGTGATTCTGAGTCACATCTGACTTTGATCCTTTTCTCATGCTAACAGAAATCAACTCCTGGGGGAGGGGGAGCACTTACGAAAGAACCATTCTTAAATAAAACCCACTCTCTGGATCCTCTCTCGCACCACCCTCGCCCCCTCCACTTTACTTTCTCTTCTCTCTCTCTCTCTTGCTTTCTCCCCGGAAACCAATCCCGACTCAAGTGAGGTAAAGGACCGGGATACAAATTCGTGCAAAGTTAAACCCTGAATTCGGAGGAAGCTTAGGATCCGCACACACCTCAGGCCCTGCCCCCAAACACCTAGCTGCAGGAAATAAATATTACTTGGACACCTTCCTTCCTAGCATCGCCCACTCGTCCTCTCTGGTTTGTACCCACGACATCCAAGTCCCTCCTCTCTGTCTCCACTATCCCACCTCCACCTCGCTGGAACTGGCCTGGGGTGGGGGGTGGGGAAATTCGAGGTGTTGCCCCCCACCCAGAGTACTGAGTTCACCCTTTTCCTCCCCCAGACCCACAGGGTGCATGCAGCAAGCTGCGTCTCCTACTCCGGACGCCACACGCAACCGCGGCGCCCCATGCGCAGAGAGGCTGCCACTAAGGAAACAATATAAATAAAGTCCACGTGCGGCGGCCGCGGGGTCGGCGAGGAAGCGCCGAGCACGGGCTGGCCCGAGGCTGGACAATGGCGCGAGGAGGCAGGGACCCGAGTGGACAGCAGCTGCCCCAGCCCCGGCAGGAAGCAGCCGGAGCCTCGCAGCCCAGCCCGCACAGCCCGCGGGCAACTCGCGCCTGCAGCCCCTCAGAGAGAGAGAGAGAGAGAGACAGAGAGGTGGCAGGGGCCGGCGGTCAGTGCCCCCCCGCCACCCGCCCCGTTTCAGCGTGTTCCCCATCCCACTCACGCCTGCTCCCCGCCTCCCGCGTGAGAGAAAGCGCGCCCACCTGGAAGGGAGCTGAAGAGCAGCAGTGCAAGGAGCGCGCGGAGCAGCATCCCCGGCGGCCGCAGCCGCGCCTGGGGTCTCAGAGAAGGCGCCATCAGTGGGGCTGCGCGGGCATGCTCCTCGGGCCCCCGCGGCCGCCGACCCCCGCCTCCGGGCGCTCCCCGCGTGCAAGCGCACGCCCTCAGCCTGGGCTTCCCGCCTGGGCTCCGGGGACGGGAGCGGCGCGACCCGCGGCTGGACTGTGGTGGCGGCGAGGTCGGCGCACGGACACCCGCGCTCACACCGGCCTGCGGCTGAGGGGGAGCCCCGAGAGTCCGGCTGAGGGGCGGAGTGAGGCGGCGGCTGGAGAGGGCGGGGGCCTCGGAGTGGACAGCGCCGCGGACGCCGGCCTGGGGACTACTTTCTACATCTGGCCCCTGGTCTGGGGACCGCGAGGGAGGTCGGCGTGGCCGGCGGAGGGAGACGCTGGAGAGGGGCCGGGGGTGGAGTGGGGGGGGAGGCCTCGGCGGCCCGGTCGCGGCCCAGGGGGAGGCGGAAGAGGAGCGAGGAGGGGGCGGGCCCCCCACCGCCGGACAATGCACCTGGGGGTCAAGCCCCGGCTGAGGGTCTCCGGCCGCGTCCCCGCCCCCTCTGCCTCCGCGCCACCGTCGAAGACGGAGCCACAAAGGCCGAGGCTCCGGGGCCAGCCAGCCCCTGGGGCCCCTCTCCCGCCAGCCAGCTAGTTTAGGACTGAGAGAGAAGGAGGAGGCAGCCCGGAGGGAGGGATGGTGTTGAGAGATGTGGAAGGGCCGGAGACTTCTATATCCCCCTCCCCTACCAACACCACCACCGCCACCATCCTCCATGGACCCCTGCCCATCCCCCCTCCTGGGCTCGCACTCCAAGGCCCTGTGGAGGGAAATGCATTTCCCATTTGGGAGATTTGTCAGCGCCCCTGGAGGCATCTCCGGCTGATAAGCAACACCCCCCCCCCCACACACACACACACAGTTTGTGGAAGGACGGTTCTTAACCGCTCTGCCCATCACGTGCGGCATTGTCTCCGGAAAGTGCCCAGAGACGTTTTATTATCTCTTCCTCAAGTTGACTCAAGTTTCTGTTTCTGCAAACTGTACACAGAAGGTTCTGTGCTGAAGTGCAGGCGAGCTCAGAGGCAGGGGAGAGGTTGCAGAGGGGCGTGCAGGCAGGGTGGAAGCAGGCTTGGATAACCCCACCTGGTTAGCAGCTGAACTGCCTAGGACAGACACCCGTGTGGCATTCTGCACCTCTCGTGAAATCCATGAGGGATCACGGGAGGAGTTGAAACCTACAGTGGAAGGATGCCATCAGATTGCAGAACATGTGTGCTAATCCGACGTCAGATCACGAGATGAGGACACACAAAGCTGGTCTTAGAGGAAAGCTCCTGGCACAAACCCAGTTTTTGTTAGGAAGCCATCAACACGGCCTCCAACAAGTTCCGCAGATCGAGAAGAAGGGGGATACCCCTGTTAGCACATCTGGTTGGAGGGCAGTGCTGCATTCCGCTGGAGTTTATTACAGGGATCAGTCGGCTTACGAATTTCAGTTTAAGCACCTGTACAGTAATCCCTTCAGCTCTATGGTTTCCCAAGTCTCAAAACTCACCTGAGTTGAACATCACAATGAAAGTTGGTAGCAAGACAAACTATTAGCAGAAATAAGATGCTACATTTGAAAGGATGTTTTAAATGCCTGATAGTTGACATTCATACAGAAGGATAGCCTTCACTGTTTGCTGTTAAATTGGAATTTTATTTTTCTTTTATCTCATTCTCCTTGACTCCTCCTCTCAGCTTTCTTTCAGTGGCCCCTAAGTGCCCATATTTCCTGGATAACAATTTCTATTACAATGCTTTTATGTTGTCTTTCTTGAATAAATCAGAAATGTGAAGGCTAGGGGGAGGGGAGAGTGATGCTTTAAAAGGCCTGGGGAAGAGCCTATTTTTAAAACTGCCACTTTGTCTTGTCCTTAACGTTTCAATTAATCAATAGAGCCCTTGATTCTTTTAAGATGGCTTTACATCCAGAATTCCCTTGGGGAGAAGTTAGGTAATATGCTGAGATGAAATACCCGACAAAACCTCTGACAAATAGCTTCTTTCCCAGGTTAGGCAGCCATAGATTTACCTTGGTGATGGAATTCTTCCATGCAGCACAAAATTTGCAGTCAGTGTACACAAAACGTTTTTATGGCGTCATCTCATTCTGAACCCAGTGAGGGGGTGGAAGAGATATTATTGCTGTTATCATTAACATTTTAAATAAGAAAAATGACGACGCCTCCAGGATTGCTCACTGGTCTGTGTACCTGGGAACCAGCATCCATTGTCTTCTGAGGTTGCTGTTGCTTGTTCTGTTATTTTGTCACCCATTTTGCCTTAAACTTTTTATTCTTTTTTTAAACCTTATTTATCTGGAAGGCAGAATTTCAAAGAGACAGAACAGAGCAGTCTTCCATCTGCTGGTTCACTCCACAGTCATCTCAGTGGCCAGGAACATGCCAGGCTGAAGCTAGGATCTTAGAACTCCATCTGGGTCTACCAAGTAAGTGGCTCAAGTATTTGAGCCGTCTTCTACTCCTTGCCCAGGGGCATTAGCAGGGGGCTTGCACAACAGTGGAGAAGCTGGGACTCCAGTTGGTGCTCATATGGGATGTTGGGCCGAACATCCTGCACCACAATGCCAGTCCCATCCTTGATTTTGTTTTAACATTACTCCTGTTGGCTTTGGGATTTACAGCATACCTTTCTGAGCAGCACAGCACCTGAGTACCTAGATTTTTTTCTTAGGTGTTCTACCTATACTCGTTTTACATCATTTACTAGAGCTACATAAGCTACTGGAGGGTTTATTACCTAGTTCTTGAGTGCCCCTCCATTTCCTTTCAGCACAGTAACGTACAGACAGTAGGTTATACTGCGATGGTTAAAAGGCTGTGGGTGTTGTTTTGTTCTGTATGTAGCAGATAGTAGTTCAGATTCTGCTATTACATAGGTGTGTTACTGATGCTCTCCAACCTAATCTCATCGAAGGCAGTAAGTGTAATACCCATGAGCTGTTATCATATGATACAATGCCTGCAAAATAGTGTACGGCTCTATAAATGACATTAGTATTGGTTTTTGAGTAAATATTTTCACTATTAAAGAGACCCTGTTCTTTCGCGGGGGGGGGTCTTGATTTTGAAAAAGTCAAGCTTTTTGAGAGTCAAATGTGAATAATTTCATTATGTTGATATTGCCTCTGTTGATGTCACAGAATGATTCCTTTGCTGGCTCTGAAAGAGGTAAGAAGTTTTTGGCTGTTTATTCTCTCAAAGCTACCCCATGGAAGAAGAATATTTTCAAGGGAAACAATTACCTAAACACCATTTTTTGAAAACTATATTTAGTTATTTTCAATGGCAAGGCAGATTTACAGAGAGAAGGAGAGATAGAGAGGAAGATCTTCCATCAGCTGATTCACTCCCTAAGTGTCCACAATGGCCAGAGCTGAGCCTACATGTTGCCAGGAGCCAGGAGCTTTTTCCAGGTCTCCCAAGTGAATGCAGGATCCCAAAGCTCTGAGCTATCTTCCACTGCCTTCCCAGCTGTAAGCAAGGAACTAGGTAGGAAGTGGAACAGCCAGGACATGAACCAGTGCCTATATGGGATGCCTGTACTTGGAGGTGGAAGATTATCCCATTGAGCCAATGCACTGGCCCCTATATTTTACTTTTATGTTATTAAACAAGGTCAATTTTGGTTTTTTTAGACCAGAAACAGTAGAGTTTGTATAGCTCAAGAGAGTTGACAGAGAAGTCTGATCTGGTGGTTAAGATACTAGGTAAGATGCACACATCCTGTATCAGAGAGCCTGGGGTCAGTGCCCATCTCTGACTCCTGATAAAGCAGACCCAGCGAAGCAGTGGTGATGGCTCAAATGACTGGACTCCTGTCATTCATTTAGGAGATTGGACTGAGTTGCCAATCCCAGACTTAGTTGTTCATTTAGCAATTTTTTTTTTAACATCCTGCTGCATTGATCAGAAAACTAGACCCACATGAAGTACATGTGCCATGATATTCACATTCAAAACGGCATCTGATGATGAGCTTAATATGTGTCATCAGAAACATCGTAAAATGAATCACTAAAAATGAGCAGTCAGGGCCAGTGCGCTAACTCAACTGGCTAATCCTGACTTCAAGCACTGACATCCCATATGGACACGTTTGTGTTCCAGCTGCCGCACTTCCAATCCAGCTCCCTGTTTATGGCCTGGAAAGGCAGCAGAGGATGGCCCAAAGTTTATGACTCTGTAACCATTTGGGAGACCTGAAAGAAGCTCCTGGCTCCTGGCTTTGGATTGACTCAGTTTTGGCCATTGTGGTTAAACGGGCAGCGAATGAGAGGATGGAAGATCTTTCTTTTTGTCTCTCCTTTTCTCTGTAAATCTGACTTTCCAATAAAAATGAGTAAATCTTTAAACAACAATAAAAGTGAATAGTCACTGTTAAGAATATACAGTTACTATGTATCACAATATAGAAGTTTCTCCAAAATTAAAAATGTAGCTACCATATAATCCAGAAATTCCACTCAGATATACTGAAAGATATTCAGAAGGATTAGAAACAGGCTCTTAGGGGACAGTTTTGCTTGTTGGCATCCCTTATGAGTGCTTGCTCCAGTCCCAGCTGATCCACTTCTGATCCAGCTCCTTCCTGAAGTTCCTGGGAAAGCAGTAGAAGATGATGCAAGTACCAGGATTCCTGCCACCCACATAGGAAAACCAGGGGGAATTCTAAGCTCCTGGCTTCAGTTTGACCCAGCAATGGCTGTTGTGATCATTTGGGTAGTAAACCAGTAAATGAAAAATCTCTCTCTCCTTCTGTCCTTCCCCCTCTTTTGTAAACTCTGATTTTCAAATAAATAAGTATAATTAGGATCATAGCTGTCACGTGGAATAGTGGGTAAAGCTACCATCTGTGGCACTGGCATCTCATTCAGGTGCCAGTTCAAGTCCCAGCTGCTGCTCTTCTGATCCAGCTCCCAGCTAATGGCCTAGGAATGCAGTAGAATATGGCCCAAA